ATCAAAGAAGCTTTCGAGATATTGAAACGCGAGACGAAGAAGGTTCGCATGGAAAAGGAAGCTCTTGACGTGGCAGCCAAGAAACTCGAGCACGTTCATTTCTCTTCAATGTTAAAGCTTAATGTTGGCGGCCACCTGTTTTCAACCAGTTTGTCCACCCTGAATAAAGATCCAGGTATGTTTTGAAATTTATACCTTTATTATCATTGCCACTCCGTCGCGTGTTAGCGATACGGACACCAGGAGGAAGTATTTTCGAATTCAGTAGTTTCACAAAGCAGAAGTCAATATATAACGAAATTATGTCTTGGGGTTCAGTTGCCACAAGCATATACTGTTGAATTGATGGTTTGCAACCAATCCGGAAAGACCTGATTTTAAGTCTTTGTTCAGGCTTGACTGATTTGCGCTTCCGACGGAGTCGCTGTCGGAAATGGTAATTAGAGAGCTTAATTAAGCAAACCACGAAGGCACGCCACCAAATAAGAGGTTTTATGAGCAAGACAATGGCTGTGTACGTGCATTCTAAATCTTTGTACATTTCTTTGCGTCTACTGCGAAACAACAACATGAAATGACTAACTTCTGCGTATTTTCGGGAACGTGAACGACGGCGGCTAATTTTTCGTTATTGCATTCTGGCGTTCCACATTTAGCTTGAGCAAGTTCAGAAACCATTAGGCGTACTGAACAGATCTAGACAATGGCGAAATTCGAAGGTAAAATATAACTCCATTTTTGCCTAGGCGTTGTCCTCAGGTTTGCCGTTGGCATTGCTTAAGCTCTCTATCAAGAACGCTTGCGACCTGGTGAAAATCGAAAATCAGAGTCGTCCGGAAGGGAGTGATAAGCTAGATCGCGTGACGAGAATCGGAGTCAAAAGAATCAGAACGTTTCTATTTTCTTCCGATTCCGCTTACGACTCCGTCGACGTCGGTTATGATCTAGTGAAAGCTAAATTGTCGGAGTCGGAAGCAGAAGCGGAGGAACCAGTCAATCACAATGCAAGGAATTTCTGCTTGCGACTCGGACTATATTACTGTTTTCATCTGGAAAACGAAAGAAGAGAGCGAAACAAACGAAAACAAGGCTTTGTGACTCATCACAAAGGACTCAGAGATTTTGTGACTGAATCAAAAGTTTAAAGGAGCCCAGTCATGTTATTTTTGCCACGTAAAAATTTACCTTTACATTAAGGGAAACCCGAAAATACTAGTTTACTAAGATAGAAAAACATCAAAGAAATAATAATAAACCATAAAGGAACAAGGATAGTTAAGGATGGAGAAGATCAACAAGGATTGCATATGAGAAACTTGAAAAATTAGTTCTTCACGATGCGCACTCCGTTCAGCTTTTTTTTTTGGCCGTTTGGTCCGATTCAATCATAACTTGGACTTATTACTATCCGTTTTAAAACCTGTTTCTGTTATCATTTTATTCCAGGTTCGATGCTACACGCCATGTTTTCAGGGAGATTTGACACAAAGCCAAGCGAGGATGGATCTTACTTCATTGATCGTGACGGAACTCACTTCCGGTATATCCTGAACTATCTTCGCACTGGGCAGCTTGTAGTGCCTGAAGACAAGGTTGTTCGAAGAGAGCTGTTAACCGAAGCTGAATTTTACCAAGTTGAAGGAATAATCAATGAGCTGAAAGCAAGGCCCTTCAAGGATTCATCGATCCTGTCATCAGATCAGCAGCAGGCCTTGATCAAGTTGCTGAAGGAGACACTCACAAGTGGCAGCTGCGATTATGCCTTGATATACCGCGCCTCCCGCAATGGCTGGGCTGCTGCCAACTTTCACTCCTGTTGTGACAAAAAGGGACCTACAGTAACAGTGGTCAAGTATGGAAATTACATATTTGGAGGCTACACTGAGGAATCATGGGAGAGTGGTGAGTGAGATTATCTGTAATGGCTTGAGCTCCCTCGTAGAGGTTGCAAATTGAATGATAACAGCTCATCTGCAGCTGTGACAAACCTATGTCAAAGTCTTATTGACATCCTGAAATCACATCTTACAATGAGATGGTTCAAAGGATGGACAATGCTTAATGACCTCGATCACTACCATGATTACTTCTATTGAATTGGGTTTAGTCGAAATTGCAGTCTAGTTGATAAGTGATGACAAAACACCCTGTTCATCTTCTCTGGTTGGAGTTTAAGCTCTGACTTGGAATCGCTGCCATCAATATCATGGCTGCTACTGCAATGTCTGATTCTTTTGGTTTGACACCACCTGGAAACAAACAGTGCTGACCAAGACGAAAGGAATCTGGGGATGAGATTAGTTCAGTATTGATGAAATATTTCTGTTTTGTGTAGGTTCTGGAGTTTACCGGAAAGCACCAGGCTCATTTCTGTTCAGCCTTGTCAACCCAAGTGGTCTGCCACCAACAAAGATGCCTTTGATAGCTGGAAAAGAATATGCTATCTATTGCAACAGTAGCTATGGACCAACATTCAGTGGAGGAGGCGCTGCCAATGATCTTTATATTCCCAATGCACCAAATTCATACAACTGCTCCGTAAGTCTGAACAACACCTACCAGTGTCCAACCGGTCAGAATGCCACCACATTTTTGACAGGAAATCAAAACTTTACAATCAATGAAATGGAAGTTTTTGTGTTTGAGAAATAACTGAAGATTATACTGTGTAACTGAACTGAAATATGGTGGTTTCAACAACGACTACAGCTTAGCTGATTTTCTTTTACATGTAAGACTTAATAATTGATCAGTTAGTATTTAAAAACGTTGTCAGCACACAGAAAGGACAGGTTACATAGGATGATCAATTTAAGTCAGCAAAATTGTGTAAAATCAGTTTAGCTGTATTTTTCTTTCATTTAGATGTTAAAACTCAGGTATTTTTGTTGCTTTAACAAAAACAAGGGAATAAACAGAAAAAACTACAAAACTGCACATGAGATTTTTCTCTCAGCGGATAGTGATTTATCGTATAAATACGGTGTGCTCTCTACCTTAATGTTACATATTTTCGTGAGAACTTAATTGCGCGAAAATGGAACGGGCATATTGCTCGGGACTTTTGCGTGATTTGGCCAAGAACAAAACGTTAAATGGAAGGAACGTTTGCTAACAGTGTCAAAATACTGATCTTCAGTCTCAGAATTGGCACAATTGATTTTCTTCAGCAATAGTCTCCATTAACAGTGAAAAAAAAACATAGACCAAACGAAACTGAAACCGTATAGTTTGACATGTTCCTTTGTAGCAAAGCGCTGCTACATAATAGAAGTACAGAGTACGGGAAACCGTCTTTTGCATTCATAGATAAAGGACATTGTTAATTTCTTCAACTGGACCCTAGGGAAGAAGAGCAGACTCACCCTTAACTACCTTAGCAACTCCTGCCGGCTTTCTCCCGTCTTCTGGCAACGTGTACTTTCCCTCGCTCTTATTCAACTGGTTGTAAATTAAGGCTTATGTCTGATTAAAGAATTATGTAGCAGGGTATTTTAATACCCTGCTAGCTTTTTTTTCGCAGGTCTTTAATGTCGCGATTTAAATTAAAACCTGATCGCGAAATTAAAGACCCAGGGGAAAGAGTTTACACAAGAATTGAAAAATTAAAAATTCAATTACAAAATTAAAAATCGCAAAAATCAAGGTGGATTCTGCTCAAAGTTCGAGCAATAAGCGCAAAAGACATTTACAAAAAATCTACTCACTGCAGTGTAACGTTTGGAATACCATCTAAAACAACTTACTTTAATTCATTTCTTTAAGTGACCCCGCGATTAAATTCTCAAGCATTCTCGAGAAAGTTAATGTCAAACCTCGTAAAAATGTTTAAAGCGTGTGTCATTGTGCTTTTAATTGACGGAAAACGTCTGTTTTAATTAAAATATGGATAACCTGAAGTTCAATTTTTCCTCACGGGGTCAGCTTGAGAGCTGGACGTTCGCCCGAAAATTTTCCAACATTGATTTTTTTCTGAGACTTTTACCACTGTAAGATGATGAGTTAGTTATGTCAGAAATGTGAAAACAATTGGGGTCACCGACTTCGTTCTGGAGACAACATGCCCAGAAGAATACCCTTAATCTGAAAAAATCGGGCTTCGTTAGCGAATAAGGCCACAGTGTCTGTAAGCCCAAAAATAATGCAATTAGATCTTTGAAGTGAAATGT